TGCATACTATATATATTATTGATGAAAAAGGGACTATACCTTGATAGTTTCATATCTTAGAGAGACTTTATTCAAAACTTCTGAAATTTTTTATGCAAACTAGTCTAGCTGAGGCCTTTATGCAGGCAAAGTTTCAGGTCAAAATTCGAAAGTATAGCTTTGCTGCCAATGTAGGCGTACTATAGAGAAAATTCACTAAGAGCTCGATATCTCCTCAGAAACAAGCCAGAAACCCGAACTTTTTTTACCATAGACATAGCACACTATGGGCTACAAGATGCGCGAAACTCGGATTGAAAAGCGCTCCCGCACCTTGGAAGGTTCCCTAGTAAGTCAAAATTCAATGGTAAATATCTTCAAAATATTGTTTTCGAAAATGTTTATCAAGAACTTATTTGAGCGATCAATTGTTAACCAATAGAATCTGATATTGGTTTTATAAAAAAATCATTTCTCTTTGAATTAATGAAAACCGCAAGTTTCTATCTTCTTATTAAAATTCATTTAAAAAACATCGACCTTCCTTATATTCTAACGCCTCTAGTAGTCATGCCTCTATATGATGAATCTCATAGAGAGCCAGTCAACTATAAAATTACATTGTTTTTATTAAAATTAATTTTTCCTTCAGATCGGATCCAATATCTTCTCCAACTCCATCACATCATGCTACACCAATCTATATGAATACGAGTATACGTAATAAAATTCCACATGACATTTTTGTATATCCTATTTTAACTTCTACACCTGCTCAACAACAACAACAACAACAGCAACAGCAACAACCTATTCATGGGCGACAAAGGTATTTTTTTTCGTATTGGAAACAAAAAACACTTGAAATCCATGCATATCTTTTAGTCCATCATTTGATATTCATTCAAATCTAACCGATTGGCTTAGTAATGGTTCACATAGTGTAAATGATCCTCGTCCAGATAGTGCTACATCATCAGTCTTATCTCGAGATAGTGGTGTTGCGCGATCTGATCCAAAATCTTCACGTGATTTTAGTGCAAAATCTGAATCAAGTTCTAAAGCATCCCTTCATAATAATAATAATAATAGTAATCATTTTATGTCTAATAATTATCCATCAACATTAGTACGTAATGGATTACCATCATTATCATCATCAAATACAATACAACGTTTATTACAACAACAACAACAACAACAACAAATATCATCAAATTTTGATACAAATATTGAACAAATACGTGAAAAACTTCAACCATTAAATACTCAACGATTAAAAACACTTCGTCAAGCAACAAAATCATTTATTGTAAGTTTAATAAAAGAAAAACATATATAGATATTTAGATTAAATATTAATTTCAATTAAATTAGATGAGTATTATGGAAAATGGTGAAGTTGTACTTGAAACAATGAGAACAAAAGGTACAAAACGACGTATTGTTGATGTATTTCGTGTATCAAGTGATGGTTTACGTATAATAACATATACACCAAATAGTCGTCATGGTTCACCTATTGGTGATCATCCACCACCAATACCACGTGATAAGAATGCTTATCAAGAATATGAATTTGATAAATTACCGTCAGAATATTGGAAAAAATATCAATATGCACATAAGTAATTCAAAATAAATTCTTGTTTTGCTTGTTTTTCATCATTTTATTTTAATATTTTTTTTTTTTTTTTAAAGATTTGTCACATTAGTTCGTTCACGTATGGCAAAAATAATTCTTTATACACCCGAAGCAAAATGTTCATTAATGGAAACTGGTGTTGATTTTGAAGTTGTTTTTATATGTGGTGTTAAGATTTCAATATATCGAGAAAATTTTAAATATGATGATCCATTAAAAATAAAAATTATTAATAATAATGATAAATCTGAATCATCATTAGATTTTGATCGTATTGCAACACGAAATATATCTGCTGTTGAACATTTTAGTCCTGAAATACGTCAAATGCTTGATAATGCAATTACAGTATGTTGAAATAAAAATCAATAAAGAACAATAATATTTTATTTATTTATTTATTTATTTATTTTTATTGTGTAATAGTTTTATTCATTTTGTTTATCAAAAGATCAAATACTTGAAGAAAATCAACGACAATTTCCTTCCATTCAAGCTTTTCCAGTTCAATTCGGAAAAAAACATGCTCAACAATCGGATACTAATAGACCAGGTAGAAGTTTTTTCGATCTATTAAGATTATCTTTTAAAGGATTGAGTGTAGTCAAAAACAAAAAGAAACATTGAGATAAATCTGTAAGAAGTTCAAGAAAAGTGAATTTTCGTCAAAAAATAGATCTGATTTAAAAAATTAACATGTGTTCTTTAGTCTCATTATACTAATGCAAAATATGGTAACGAAGAAACTATCCCAAGTGACATCCGCCGTTTGAGCTCACATTTGACACGCAGGTAGATCTTAGTGAACATAGTAAAAGTTTAAAAGAATTCGTCGTCATTAGCCTTTGGCGCCAATTTATGACCAGTGTATTGGATTTTTGACCTATTTTTAGGTACTCCTCAGAAGACTAAATAACAGAGTTTTGATCGAAAATTTTTCATGCAGATAAATTTGATGATTTAGAATATTCTAAAAGTATCAGCCAAAAAGAATGTTATTTCGTCGATTTATTGAGTTTTCAAGTGAAATGATCTTTTGTGACAAACGACCTTTCTTAGGAAATTCAGCATCTTATCTTCAGTTTGCTCCTCGCCGGTTGTTAGAACTTAGGAGAGAGGAGCACCGTAGTAAAAACCTTGATTTAAAGCTATGCTCACTACTTTCTTCGTAAGACATTATTTGATAGTTTACAGTTTACACAATTCATATCAAATAATTATTAATAAGTAGACCAGTTTAAACACGTGTTTTGAAGTATTTTCGCCTTTCACAGAACTCTGTTCCCAGAGTAGATGTCACAATTACAGAGTGATGGTGGATGGATAGGTGCCATTGTGAACTCCATGAACCTTACGTCTGTGCTTATATCAATTTGAATTTTGTGGCAGTGCAGGAAATATTTCCAAAAACTTGTTTCACGTTGTTTTTAGAACGTGTCTCTAGCGACTTTCTATTATAGTAGGAGATAAAGTCCAATATTTTTTATTTTGAGTTTAAAAGCACGTATTTAGAGCTAACAACTATTGTGACTCTTTTTCAAAATAACTCTCTCACCGAAGTGAAAAGATTATTTTTTATCAAAACTTACTTATTCTCATAAAATGTCTAAGGTAGACTGAGAATTTTTTGACTTTATGCCTCTCTCAAGACTAAGAATAGAAGAAAATCGAAAAAGAAAGGCCATGAGACTTGCTAAACTCAAAAGTCTTCTAAAAGATTAAAAAAGAAAATTAACTTTTTAAGTTAAAATGGCCAAATGTCACTGGCGAAGTCAGAGACTACAAAATAGGTATTATACACAAACTGAAATTGTCCTAGCTTTCGCTAAGAAAAAGAGATATACAGGTGAACATTTTTTTTCTATGTACAGCCTTACATCACTAATATATCAAATAAACAATTCTTTTTTTTTTAATAAAAAAAGGTTCTGCTTGTTCAATTGGTCGTTCTCTTTCTCAACAATTTGGTGGTTCATCATCAACCGTCAATGAACTATGTATCGCACCTTCAACATCCGTTGGTACACCGTTATCAATGACATCTACTCGACGTATATTTGCATCTGATACTGATGTTCGAGGAGTGAGAAATTCATCATCTGCAACTCCAATGTGTTCAAATGCAAGTATAGCTAATACTAATGTTCATCATTCAACATCATCATCAACATTACGTACAGCTGGTTATCATCATCAAGTAACTTATACACCACAAGCATCGATATCTCGTCCACTTTCTATTCATCCTCAACAAATATCTTCACCATTATATGCACCAGAAAATTTATCTTCATCATCTCTATCGAATCGTCAAACAACAACGAATATGAATCATAATTATACGTCTTCAACATCATTAAATTCTACAGCAAGTGGTGGAACAATAACAACAACCACTAATCCGGGTTTAGTTCCAACGAATTCATTATCGATTAAATCTATTGATCCATTATTAAAAGGAACTTATCGTGTTACATTTAGTGATAACAGTACGATGATACTTCGAGCCGATTGTACGGATGGTCAAATGTTTATTGATACACAAGGTAAACGTTATTTATTTGATCGAAGACAACAACATCAACCAGAAGCAATTCAAGAGCGCTTAGCACTCATGCATCAAGATCATCCAACAGATGTTGAATATAATACATCTCAACAACAACAACAACAACAACAACAACAACAACAATGAAATATTTGACAAACATATTTTGTTTTTATTTCTTTCTTTTGCTAAAAAGCAAATATGTTATTATTTTTTTCTCTTTTTCGACTTTTTTCACTCTTAATAATAGCAAATGTTTCTTTTGTTTTTTTTTCTTCATTATTTGAATACACATGCACACAATACAGAACGAATTATCGTTCATATGCAACTATTGAAATTTAATGAGTAGCACATGTATTTTTAGCACACTTTTGCTTTGTGTGAAATTGAGCTAGAATAGAAGATTGTTTTTTTTTCTCTCAAAACTTGCATCTCTCTCGCTGTTTTTATGCTTTGTTTCGTTTTTTTAAATACTTTATTATTTTTTTTCTTTGGTTTGGTCGTGTTCTCTTTGATCTTGTCGGTTTTTCTTCCACAAAAAAACTTTACACATAATATCCGTCCGTTTATATATGTTTCTGTTTTGATTTGTTATTATTATTATTTTTTTCTTCTCTTCTATTTTGCAGTGTTGTTGTTTGTTTGATATGATTTTTCAATGAAAAACAAAGAAAGTCAAAAAAAACCTATAATGAATTGTACAATTGAAGTCAAGAGAAAAAAGTTGTTCGCACAATCCTTGTGAATAGGGGTGTCACACTTACCACCACTTCCACTACCAGGTAAGTGGTAAGTGTTTTAATCACGGAAAAATTATCGGTATGGCACTAATAAATGATTGTTTTAATTATTGATTATTTATTCTTGCAAAATGATCTTCACCACTTACCACTTGCTGGTAAGTGGTAATTAGTATCACTTACCACTTGCTGGTAAGTGGTAATTAGTACTACTTACCACTTGCTGGTAAGTGGTAAGTGGTTTTCATCTAATTGAAGACAGACCATTCACAACACAAAACTGATGATTCCACCATAAGCCTTTCGTGACCTTTTTGTGTACTCAAAAAGTGAGTACACTCTAGAATCGGTCAGTGTGTCCGTCCGTCCGTCCGTCCGTTTACACGATAACTTTTGAAAGGAGAGTCCGATTGCGATGAAATTTTCTACACAGTTCAGTCTTAACAATATCTCGGTCGAGTT